GTCAGTGGAACTAATGGAAAAACTGGACTCAAGCAGAGCAAGAATTAATTACATGGGGGACTTCCCTGGTGGTCCAGTGGTTAAGACTCCACTCTCCCAATGCAGGGGGCCCGGGGTTCGTTCCCTGCTCAGGGAACTAGATCCCGCATGCCACAACTAAAGATGCTGCAAGCCGCAACTAAAGACCCACATGCTGCCGTGAAGATCCTGCATGCTGCAGCTAAGACCTGGTGCAGCCAAACAAACAAATATTTTAAAACAAAATCCTTTAAAAAGAATTACTTGGGCTTCCCTGGTGGCGCAGTGGTTGAGAGTCCGCCTGCTGATGCAGGGGACACGGGTTCGTGCCCCGGTCTGGGAAGATCCCACATGCACGGAGCGGCTGGGCCCATGAGCCATGGCCACTAGGCCTGCGCGTTCGGAGCCTGTGCTCCGCAGCGGGAGAGGCCACAACAGTGAGAGGCCCGCATACCACAAAATAAATAAATAAATAAATAAAAAAGAATTAATTACATGGTGGGGGGCTGGTGGTGGTGGGATGAATTGGGAGATTGGGATTGACGTATATACACTAATATGTATAAAATAGATAACTAATAGCCTGCCGTATAAAAAGTAAAATTCAAAAATAAAATGAAAAAAGAATTACATAGGATTGAATGAACTGATAAATATTATAATTTTTATCATTTTGTCTAAAATACTACTGATTTTTAATCATTTGTTTTCCAGATAAAAGGAAACAATTTTAAAGACTTAAAACAATTTGGTAAATTAAACATTTTTAAGCAGAATTGAAACACTTATCTTTTTCTCGCTATCTGATTTCTCCAGAATTCTCAAACTAAGCCCTTTTCCTGAAGCTAAATGACTTGATACAAACTTCAGAGAAATTGCCACAACAGCTCATATTTAAATAATCGTCATGTTTGTTTCTGTATGAGCCACTCAGAAAGTTTACTTGAACACCTGATGACATCATTAGAGACATTTCAAACTGCAAAAGTTGCTTTGACCCTGACATCTAGAAATCTTGATTGACTGCCTCTTGGGCCCAGAAACTGGTTTATAAGTTGCTCTAATTATTAACCTTTGTTTTTCTTTCATTTCTATGAAAGTCCTCTTATTAAATACCTGATTGCTTGCCCCATAGTCCCAGCTTTGGGAGCACACCTGTATCACCACCTCCTAAAATGAGATATAACTATTTAACTAAACTGAGCTGTTTTCAGAACTAAAAACTGGTTCAAAGAAATGGAAGACTCTACTAACCCATTCTTTTCACAGTTACCAGCTCAGCTTTTAATACGTGAAACTTCCAGAGACGTTTCAGAAGAGGAAACTATTGGGGCCCTAGGTAGGCAGCCACAAAATGTGCCTCAATGGCATATTGATTATTTTGAATTAAAGTTACTTAAGAAACAGCCAATGCAAGGGGGACACTCTCACCCTCCTTTCTGTCTCCTTGAAAGCAGGAAATATATCTATGTGAAAAGTGCACCTCCTGCATCTGGAAGTAGAAGGACACCCTTATCACCAGAGATAGGAAATTCACACCAGAGATAGGAAATTCAGGCCAAGAATCCTATATAAACAAATATTATTATATCTTTAAGTTACTATACCAAGCCCAAACTCTGTTAAATTAAAAGTAATTAAATTAAATATAATCAGGTGTAATTCTGGGTATTGTAACCAAGTTTCTTTATTGATTACTCTGTAACCAGATATTTAACCATGCCTTTTAAGTCTTATTTATAGACAGTTATTATTGTACTCTGATGCTGTTGCAAAAGTGCTTCATCTTCAAGACGATTCATAAGAAGCCTATGGAAGCAGTTAACAACAGTTCCACCTCAAGAGGATGGCCGTGCGAGGATTCCAGCCCACGCTGACTTAAAACAAGGAGCTGTCCTGCAACTAGAGCCCCTAAAATAAGGCATCCAGAGATTTTTACTCCCTGACAGGCAGAGTCAATGCCCCTACTCAACACTGAAGCAGCTAAAGGAGACAGACCATCTATCGCCCCTCTGCTTCCCATACAATTATAGGAGTAAAATCTCTGAAGGCGGAATGAGGGTGGGAGGGAAGGGGCAGGGCACAACCATGAAAAGAATGACACAGCTGTTGAGGATATGACAAAAACTGGTTAGAGCCAATTAGGCCCAACATGGAGGAAGACTCGACTTCCAGTAGACCTTGAGCCTCATTTTATGCTCATTGTAATATAAATATGGGCATCTAAATGACACACCCAGAGGTGCCATGACAGTTCTGAGGCCAACCATAAAAGGCCAAAAAGTGGATGGTGGCCCAATTCCTGGAAGTCCCTGCCCCTTCCCCAAAATATTTGGAATAATCCTCCCAATTATGAGCCTATGAAATTACCCACCCTATAAAAACTAATCACCGCCACACCTTTGAGAGGGCCCACACTCTGTCTATGGAGTGTGTATCTCCCAGGGCTGCTTTCCACTTTTGAGACAGACATATAAAGAATGTGTATCTCTCTAAATAAACCTGCTTTCCCACTTAGAGCCCCCTTGCCTGTCCACTTGTATCCTTCACAAGCATCCTATATTAATCTACTTCTTGCCTGTCTTCTTTGCCTCTTGCAGAATTCCTTCTGTGCTGAGACATAAAGAACCTGAGCTTCATTAAGTCCTGAGACCAGGTATGTGATTTCAGCTGGGAGGTTGTGGGTCCCCTCCTAAGCCAGAGATTGTGGATTCAAGTCCCATCTGAAGTGCAAATGGGTTCAAGTCCGAATCTGAGGTGTGCAGTTTCAATTATTATCCCTGAGGGATCAACTAACCTCAATTGTAATCAAAACGCGACCTGCCTGAGACCATACCCCTGAAGTCTATCTGGGCTCAAATGTGACCCAAGCGTGTAACATACTCTTCTTTTTCTCCCTTGCAATGTGAGTTTCCTGGGGCAAATCTACCCCAGCTCTGAGGAGCTCAATGGATTTGGAGCAGGTTATTAGCCATTCCGGCGATGAAAGGGACATGAGACCAACATTGATCATCAGTGCTTTCTAAAGGAAAGATTTCAATGATGACATATCTAAGATCAATTAAAAATTAAAATGGAGTAACTGGGGTTCAGACATCCAAAATGGAGCCTGGTGGCCATTGTGGATATGGTTTCAGACATGTTTCTGCATCCCTGAGAACTTGAATTTTCTGAGCTCTATCAAACTCAAGGATACCACCATTCATTTTCAAAACAATATCTGCCAGAGGCTGCCAGCTGCAACCTTATGGTCTCAAGGTCTCCCTCTGTGACTGTTCAACTATTTTGGACATCAACTAACCTTGCTTAACAAGCATCCTTCTTGCCAGCTCCAATACTATTTCTTGACAAACAACTTCTGTAACTTTGTGGTTTTTGCCTATATAAGCCTCCCCTATTTTGCAGTCAGGCAGAACACAGTTCAAGTGCTTCTTGAATCTGTGCTCCCTGGCTATAGTCCTCAGCTTGGCTTGAATAAAACTCTCTTCTATTCCTTAATATAGATTGTTTATTGATTATTTGTGTTGATAATAGCATGAGGTAGCACGATTTGGATATCCCATTGACCCAGCACCATGTATTGTAAAGACCTGAACTACAATGGTGACTTTGTCATACTCAAGTGACTGTGTAAGTGCAGCTATCTGTTCATGAGAGGAATTGGTCAATAAATTCTTTTTAATAATGATGTTCATTATTGATGTTCATTTTAAGGTAATGTCCTCTTAAAAAGCATTGCAAACTACTACATGTTTTTCTAGTTTCTGGAAATATTTGTATAAGATTGGTGTTATTTCTTTCTTAAGGGTTTGGGGAAATTGATCAGGAAAACACTTTGGGCTTGGAGTGTTCTTTGTGGGTGATTTCTAATTTGTCATTCAATTTCTTTAATAGATGTAGAACTTTTCATATTTAAAATTTTCCTTGTATCATTTTTGTTAAATTGTGTTTCTCAAGGAATTTATCAATTTCATCTAAATTTTCAAATTTATTGGCATAAAATTATTCATAACATCCTCTTACTAATATCTGATGACCAGTAACAATGTCCCCCTTTTCATTCCTCATATTGGTTATTTGCTTCTTCTTTTGTATTTATTTTTTCTTGATCAGTTTGGCTAAAGGTTTATCAATACTATTAGTCCTTGCAAAAAGACTCAAATTTGGCTTAATTTCTTTATTGTATTTTCCCTCATTTTGTTGATGTCTACTCTTTATTATTTCTATCTTTTTGTTTCTTTGAATTTAATTGGTTTGCTTTTTGGCTTTTTGAGATTGATACTTAGATAATTAATTTTCAATCTTTTATCATTTCTAATATTTGCATTTAATGCTACATATTTTCTTTTAAGAATGGGTCTACCTGCATCCTTCACATGTTGATGTGGTATTTTTTATCACCATTCAGTTCAAAAATATTTTCTTATATCCATTTGTTGTTTAATTTAATCCCTAGTTTAATTCTAGTTTAATCTGATTATTTAGAAGTGCATTGCTTAAATTCCGAACATCAAATATTTGGGGACTTTTTTAGTTTTCTTTTTTTCTTATTGATTCCTTGTTTAATTCTAATGTGGTCAGAGAACATACTTTTTATGATTTCAGTCTTTGAAAGTGATGAAACTTACTTTCAGGTACAGTATAAAGTCAATTTAGTCATTTAGGGATTTTTCTTATAAAAAGGGAAAGCCGGAATCTGATTGGTTGAGAACTTGGTAGAATCACGATGTTTGCTAAGACAACTCAAAGAAGTCTTTTTATTTCTACTATTTATTGTTATTATTATTTTTAAAAGTTAGCATTGTTACATAAGTTGGTTTTAGGCAGGAGAGCCAATTGCCTCCGGGCCGGGAACGTTTTGTCCCCCAGTGCCAGAGGCACTCCTAGGCAGTCCAGGTTGAGAGCCGGCCGGAACCTTGGCGCCGCGACGCCTGTTTCCGGCGGGCTCCTTAGAGCGCGGAACAGCTTGGGGCCGAAGGACCATGAGAGGGCCGGAACCGGGTCCCGAAGCTACGATGGAGGGGGACGTGCTTGACACTCTAGAGGCGCTGGGGTGAGTAGTCCTGAGGCCGCCTTTTCCCCGAAAACGTAAGCTGTCCCTCCGATGGCTGCCTCAGTCTCCTCCCCGTGGGCCTTCGCTGAGCTCTTGCCGCTCGGTGCAGGCCTCCGTCCCTGCCTCCGGCGCGGACAGAGTTAAGAGAGAGGCGGGAGAGAAATCCGCTTGGGGGGTGGAGCAGGCCTGGAGAGCTGGGGCGCTTGTCCCCCTCTTCCGAACTCCTTGCCTCGGAACTCCGCAGCCGGGACCCGCGGCGAAGGCGCGGAGGGGTCCGGCTGGCAGCACCCCTTTGGGGAATTAGTTGCTGCCCCGCGGGTGGTATTATTGTTGACGCTCCGGGGGAGAGGCGCTGGAAGCCGGAGTGCAGCTGTTGACTGTTGTCTCCTGCCTTGTACAACCTGTGGATTAATTAGGGCGCGGGAGTGAATCTCCTGCTTCCTTGACCCGAGAAAGGGGTTTTAGTTCAGTGCAAATCCATTCATTTCACCGTTTCTTCCATTCATTAACAACATACTAATATGGTGTTCATCTGTATTCATTAATGCGTATTTGTGTGCTAGGCGGAGGAGGAAGACAGTTTTCAGATTACTAGTAGGTTACCTAGTCGGGGACTATAAAGAGTCTACTGGTGTTTGCAATTCAGGGTGGTTAAGTGCTTTGAGAGCTCCTGGAATGATGTTAATACTTGTAGGTATGGGTATCAATACATGCAAAATAGTCTCTCCTTCAGCCTCATCCTGTTTTTCTTCACAGCCTCGGGGTCCCTATCCCAAATTATCTTGTCCTGAACATTTATTTATTGTCTCTTGAACATCCACCCTCCCCACCCTCCATCCCCTAATACACAAAAGTCAGCTCCAGGAGAACAGGTGCCTTACCTGTTTTGTTCCCCAAAACATCCTACAACCAGATCTGCTACAATAAATAGTGGTTGGATGAATGGGTAAGTAAATGAAGAAAAGTTCAAAGCAGAGAGTGCACAGAGGTAAGCATAGGGCCAGATAGTTGCAAGTCAAAAAAATACACATTAATTAAAGACATTGGAGCCATCTGTAAAGTTGTGTGCCCTGCCACGTCTGGAGTTTCTTGGATAGGATAGGCTGTGCCTTTGCAGTGCTATCGTGAAGCTCGAACCACCCTCTCGCCCCCCCTTTACTTTTCTTAAAACTGCACTTGCTCCTCTATCAATTGCTTCTTTGGGACCCTGATAGTACCTACTTTGCAGTGACTCATTGTTACAGAGCCTTGCACTTACTAGATCCTTAATAAATATTTGTCAAGTGAAAGAACAGAGCCAGTGATTATTTAGGGGGCATTTTTACTTCTGTGAAATCCCGTGGAAATTTTCATGTAACTTGGTTAAGGAAGTAACCAACACAGAAAGTTAAAATAAATAAAGTGTTTCGGACCCAAACGGTTTGAGCTCCCAAGTATTCCAGATAAGACTAGTGGGATTCTATAAATAGTTTTTGAAAAATGGAAAGTCAGTGCTTTTTTTTCCTTTCATTCTTTGTTTATATTATAGGTGTTTTGAAAAATGAAGTTTGGTATAATCTTGGCTTTTATCAAGGAAAATTATTTCAGATTATTCACTATAGAAAGTAAAACAGTTTAGAACTGATTTAAAATACACTTTAGAACTGATTTTTCCTGGAATAATTAAGGACAAGATTTTGAAGTTTGAATTTTCCTATAATGATAATGAAAAGTGAAAAAAGAGTAATTGTTTATTTACAATATGTGTTGTAATTGAACATGCGTTTCAAAATCTCCATGTAGATTGTGAATAATGCATTTTCTGTTGTGATTAAAACATTTAGGATATCAGTGAAGGTACTTCAGTTTATCAGATAAAATAGGAAATTAAAGGGAGGAATTAAAAGGGAAAATCTATGTGAAAGAACAGTTTAGTGATGTAGTACATTATAAACGAAAACAGTGTAGTAATAACTTAGTTTCCTAATCTGTGAAAGGAGCAGGCTGGATCAGATTTCAGAAGTCTCTTTCAGTTCTGACAATCTATGATTTTGTAGAACAGTGTATCTCAACCCTGGTAATACATCAAAATCATGTTTGGAGCTTGTAAAACAATGTTTCAGTGTGGTATATACCACCAGCTGAGTGAAACATGATCTTCAGGGGTGCGATATAGGCATGCATATCTTTAAAAAGCTTCACAGCCTAGGTTGAGAACCACCATTGTGGAGGGAAATTTATTTCACATATTTACTGAGCACAGCTCTGTATTGGACGCTGTTCTGAGAAGTCACTGGTGAGCAAAACAGACTTGGTTCCTGTTCCAATGGAGCTTACAGTCTGGTGGAGAAAAAGACATGATCACACAAATAAACTAAATAAGTGTTTCACACAAATAAACTAAATAACTAAAATAAGTATTTCAAAGGAAAAGAACAGGGTGACATAATGTGGCAAGAGGACCTATGTAGTCTTAGGGGTTAGTGACAGATTACTGAGGAAGTGACATTTGAGTTGAAATAGGAAGGGTGAGTAGGAGTTAACTAGGTGAAGTTGGCTGGGAAAGGAGGACAAAGGTGTCCTTACAGTGAGGACAAAATATGAAAGACCTTAAAGTGGAAAGGATCTGCCATATTAGGAGAACTGGAAGGAGGCTGATGTAGCCGGAGGGCAGAGAGCAAGGACCAGTGTTAGAAGATTGGATCAGCAAGGAACAGGGCATGCAGCACCTTTTAGGCCATGTTGAGGATTTTGTTCTTTGTCCTGACAGCAGTGCGACATGATTGAACAATTTTAAATAAAAAAGAGAGTGATTAGATCAGGGGTCCCCAGCCCCCGGGGCCGTGGGCCAGTACTGGTCTGAGGCCTATTAGGAACCAGGCTGTGCAGCAGGAGGTGAGCAGTGGGTGAGCGTGGAGCGAGCGAAGCTTCATCTGCTGCTCCCCATGGCTCACATTACCGCCTCAACCAACTCCCCTACTCCCCCCCCTCTGCCCCCTCTGTGGAAAAATTGTCTTCCACAAAACTGGTCCTTGGTGCCAAAAAGGTTGGGGACCGCTGGATTAGATGTCTAGTGTGAAAAGTTACCTCTGTCAGCAGGGTGGAAAATAGATTGGAGAATTAGTTAGTAGTCTAGGCAAGAAGTGATGGTTGCTCAGTGGCAGTGGATATAGAAAGAAGTATATTACTGGTCTTAGTGATTTGATTGGCTATTAGAGCTGAAGGAGATGACAGTATAAAGGATTCATTTCTTCAACAGGTATTTATTGAGCAACAAAATAAAGTGATACACTTTGGAATCTCAATTGGACAGGGAAGAAAGTGAAGACAGCCGGGAGCTAGGAAATGCAGAGAATGCGGAGGGACCATAGGAACTGAGGTAGAGATGATATTAAGTGTGGTCAAAAGAGCAAGCTGGAAGGATAGATAGTAGGCTATGGTCAGGGAGTGACATGTTCAAATTAGTGATTTCGGAGGTGACGTAGTTCCAGGTGATGGCATGATCTGGGTGTGGCTTACTTATGTGCAGTGGCAAAGGTTGGAAAAGAGAAGGTTAGGGAATTGAGAGCTCAGGGTATTGGAAAGGGTATACATATGGGCTTTGAAGAAACTCAATATAATTGAAAAAAATAGGAATGGAGAGGAAAAACTGAGCACAGGGAATGTTGAAGAGTGTCCAAGAGATTGAAAGATGAAAACCACGAGAGAAAGAGGGTGGCATATCTGACTGGCCTGAGCCTGGAAGAGAGTGGGAGATATTTATAAGATAATGAGGGAGTTGATCAAAAAATGGGCAGAAGATCTAAATAGACATTTCTCCAAAGAAGACATACAGATGGCCAAAAAGCATATGAAAAGATGCTCAACATCTCTAATTATTAGAGAAATGCAAATCAAAACTACCATCACCTCACACTGGTAAGAATGACCATCTTCAAAAAGTCTACAAACAATAAATGCTGGAGAGGGTGTGGAGAAAAGGGAACCCTCCTACACTGTTGGTGGGAATGTAAATTGGTGCAGCCACTATGGAGAACAGTATGGAGGTTCCTTAAAAAACTAAAAGTAGAACTACCATATGAGCCTGCAGTCTCCCTCCTGGGCATACATCTGGAGAAAACCATAATTTGAAAAAATACATGCACTCCAATGTTCATTGCAGCACTATTTATAATAGCCAAGACATGGAAGCAACCTAAATGTCCATCGACGGAGGAATGGATAAAAGATGATGTGGTGTATTTATACAATGGAATATTAGTCATAAAAAAGAATGAAATAATGCCATTTGCAGCAACGTGGATGGACTTAGAGATTATCATACTAAATGAAGTAAGCCAGAGAAAGACAAATATCATATCACTTATATGTGGAATCTAAAAAAAGAATGATACAAAAGTGAACTTATATACAAAACAGAAATAGACCCACAGGACATAAAAAACAAACTTACTGTTACCAAAGGGGAAAGGGTGTGGGTGGGGAGGGGTAAATTAGGAGTTTGGGATTAACATATACATGCTACTGTATATAAAATAGGTAAACAAGGACCTACTGTATAGCTCAGGGACCTATACTCAGTGTTTTTTAATAACCTATAAGGGAAAAGAGTCTGAAAAAAAAATATATGTACGTATAGCTGAATCACTTTGCTGTGCATCTTAAACTAGCACAACATTGTAAATCAACTATATTTCAATTAAAAAAAAAAGATAATGGGGGAGCAGTGATACGGATGCTGTATTGGGAAGCAAGGAGGACAAAAACCCCACCATTTGACCGTCAGGCAGTTAAGAGTAAAATACCCAAAGCTAGAGGCAGTAGGGATAAATCTTTCTGAGAAGACATTGACAGAATAGGAGAGTTGTTTTTTATGGATGGAACATATGGAAGAGTTTGAGAAGCAGGAATAAGTGGAGAGCTGGATCAGAGGCAAGCCAGTAGGGTGGGTAAATGACAGGGGGAAAGAAAGGGTCTAATATTTTATATGTTGGCCGATGAAAATAGAAAACAAAGTAAATTAGACCCCGGCTGTGCCTTTCTGAAGGTTTACCAGTGGCCCTACTGGACTGAAGGTTTGGTTCACCCAGCTTAGAGCAGTGTCAGATCAGCAACTATGGTTCAAGTGTGCATGGCCCTGGGGGAGTCTAGGCCTAGGGGAGGTGTCCCCAGTTACTACTAAGTTATTACTCTTTGGTGTTACTCTTTGGAATAAGAGTAGCACTTTCCTAATTAAATAAGAATTTATAGAACAAACTAAGCATGATAATAATACCTATCTTATAGGATATTGTGACAATTAAATAAGGTAATATACATACAGCACATAGCACTGGCCTAAGATTAGTTTATAAATGTTAGTTGCTATATGATTATGATTGTTATTAGATATTCAGGTTTGTTAAATGCATTTCTTTTTTCTTTTTACCTATTTTGAGGAACTGAGGCATTAAAGCTTGTGTATTCAGGATTTAGTATTTTTGGTGATTTAGTAAATTTTTGCTGAATTTTAAAATTGGCATTTCAGTAAAAATAACTTACCAATAATATGAATTAGTTACATTTTTTCAGGAGCTTATGATTATTGCTTTATTGCAGAAGTGAAAGCAAGTAGGGGGAAATAAGATATTTACTATTAAGTCTCAATGAGAGGTGCTGTAAGATATGGTAGAAAGGTAATACAGGGGAACCAGTCTTGGTTGGAGGAGCAGAGACTGGTCTAGTCCCAGCTGTCTGTACCTGGCTGCATTACCTGGCCAGGTTATTTACTTTGTTTCCCTATTAGTGTAGACAGAAGTTTGAGTTCACATGGAGCATTTGGGGTCAAATCTGGATTTAAATCAGAGTGTCGTCATTTATCTTCTGATATTATCTTCTGGTCCTACAGAATTAGGATAATAATAACTTCAAATCATTGCTGTAAAGAGTAGATGAATTGGAATATTCATCTGGCCTGCTACTTTAGGCAGGTATCCTAACCTTGTTGAGCCTTAATTTCTTATCTGAAAAATGGGGCTTTGGAACTACTCACCCTTTGTGAAATATGACCAGAGAATTTAGAGAAAAAGAAACGCAAATGGCCTTTAAACATATCAAAAGATGTACAGTCGTGCCATAAGAGAAATGTAAATTAAAGCTATACTGAGATACCAGATGGTCAAAAATCCAAATGTTTGACATGAGTCAAATGTTTGGTAAGTTATGGGTAATGGATACTCTTCTACTTTAGTGGTACAACCCCTGTATAGGCAAATTTAACATTATCCAGCAAAGTTGGATAGCCATTTACCCTTTGATCCAGTGATCCCACCTCTAGAAATCTATCCCAGATATACACTGACAAAAATTTGCCCAATTTTTTAAATAGCAAGGCATTACAAAAAACCAAAATGTCCTTCAATGGGGGCATAGCAAATAAAATATGGTATATCCAGACAGTGGATACAACTATAAAAGTGTTTGAATAGTATCTCTACAGATCTCTAGTATATATAAATATGTGTCTTTGCGTGTGTATGTGTTTAAAAAAAGGAATAGAGGGGTTTCCCTGGTGGCGCAGTGGTTGGGAGTCCGCCTGCCAATGCGGGGGACGCGGGTTTGTGCCCCGGTCCGGGAGGATCCCATGTGCCGCGGAGCGGCTGGGCCCGTGGGCCATGGCCGCTGAGCCTGCGCCTGTGCTCCGCAATGGGAGAGGCCACAGCGGTGAGAGGCCCGCATACCGCCAAAAAAAAAAAAAAAAGAAAGAAAAAAGAAAAAAAAAAGGAATAGAACAGTAGATAGTAGGCTGCCTTTTATCTAAAAAAGATACATTTATGTATGTGTATATATATATTTTGTGTATATATATGTTTATATTTTAAAACATTATGGTTTAACAACCCCAAACAATAAATATGGTTTCCTATGAGGAAGGGAGGAAACAGACTACTAGATGGAACAGTATTAAGATTGCAAGCGAGAATTGTGTGAATGTACCTTGTTTTGTTTTAGACTTTGAAACTGTATAAATGTTTTACATAATTGTAAAGCAAAATTAAAATGAAATCAAAACAAAAAAAGAGAGACAAATCCCTAAAAATTAAAAGCAAAATGAAAAAAATATCTATCAGTGTATTGAGTAGGAGGTTTAATCACATGGAAAGGAATTGTTTTTCTATACATCCTTACTGGAATATATTCTAAAGATAAAAATATAAATTGTTTTCATTAATTCTGTTTTTAGTAATAATGCTGTTTTTTCTATTCTGAAACTATGTAATTTATGTTATTTTTATATTTACTAGGATTCTGTAAATGTCATAAAAAACCAGAGTTTTCATTGTAAGAGAAAAATAGATAAAAATGTAAAACAAAATAGGTAAAAACCCTATAATTCTAAATTTGAACTGGAAATAGCAGTGTGAACTCCTGATATGATTTCTTTTAAAAAGGTACAGTTACAGTGACTAACCTTTACGACCAGATTGTGTATTCTAAATACCATTGAAGAGAATCAGGACTTCTTGGAGAAATGGCTGGTTACAGGTATAGGGGAAGAACATATTGTCATAGAAAGCAAGGAAAATATTCAAAGAATAATGGGGACAAGTCAAAGGACTCATTGAGTAACATGAATGTGCTCCCACTAATCAGAGATAGGACAATTTGAGTATCAAAAGAAAAATAAATGCAATGCATTAAAACCCATCAACTGTGCTAAAACTTATAAGTTTAATAATGTGGGGGAAAAAAAAGCTCAGTTACAGAAAGAACAGTAAAAGTAGAAAACTGGTATCAAATTCAATTAAGGTAATATATAAAAATGGTTTGAAAATTTAAGGTTCTATTCAAATACACTTTGTAGCAGTGTTTAAAAGTATAAAATTATAAAAGAAATGGTTAAGGTTAAAATAATCTCATATGTCCTCAGTTTTAATTTTTTTAATTTAAATTTGCATCTGTTCTTTTTTCACTATATTACTTTTTTCTTATTCTTGTAACTAGTATAGTTATTAGACTCTATTCTATTTGACTTTGTTATATGTAATATTTATCTTAAAATTGGTTGATAATTTTACTAAAAAATTTTAAAACAAAGTCAAATGTTAATTATATAGAGCAGAAATCAGCAAACTATTTCTGTAACAGACCAGATAGTAAAAATTTTAGGCTTTACTGGCCACACTGTCTCTGTCACAAATACAGGAAAACAGCCAGAGAGTTTGTAAATGGGTACAGTTGTTGGCTGTGTTCCAATAATATTTTATTTACAAAGACAGGCAGCAGACGTTGATTAAAAAGTATTAGGTGTATTAGGGTTTTGTTTGTTTGTTTTAACCTTTTATATCTTCCTTTCTAGGTATAAGGGACCACTGTTAGAAGAGCAAGCCCTTATAAAGGCAGCAGAGGGTGGACTGTCTTCACCTGAATTTTCAGAGCTCTGTGTTTGGTTAGGCTCTCAAATAAAATCATTGTGCAACTTGGAAGAAAGTATCACTTCAGCTGGTATTGCTATTGAGTTTTATTTACTTTTCTGTTTACTAGTAAAATGAAATGATAGGTTATGCTTTACAGTTTTATCTATAATGTGCTCACTGTACAAAGAAAAGTCATTACTACAAAGAACTTCAATATGTGATTTAAATATCTTTGGATTAAATTTTATATTGATTAATCCAAAATTGGTTCTTAAATTTATATAAAATTATAAATAATTATTGTTTATCTGCTGTCTTGAACTTAGTATTGTTCTTTAGAAAAAGAAGAGTCTAAATTTGGTTATTTAAAAAGTTTAAGTTTTGAATACTGGTTATTTTGAATTAAGGTGTTTTTTTCCCTAAAGTATGCATATATGTAATCCCTAATTTAAGTTGTAGTACCAAACCTATAACTCAGGACATGGATTCACATAGGAATACGTTTATAAAAAAACTCCTGTACTAGCTCACAAGGTTTATTTAATTCACTACTGTATTGGTAGCTGGAGTTCTTGTGGGTCTTTGATTGATAGAATTTCAGACAGTGTAATAAAATGAAAAATAAAAATTGTGGGGGCATTTGCTAGGAGACCAGTAGCCTTCCCTTCTGATGCTGTCCTTACTTTTAAATTGTTTTTTTCCTTGCCAAATCTAATAGAATTCACTTGAAGCTAAGTAAAATAAGCTGAATTCAGAACTTATGACACAAGTTCCCACATAATTAGATGATGAAAGAAAGATAAGCTCTGAGGCTTAATTCGACAATAGCATTTATTATCCAATATCCAAATCCATAGAAATACCATAGAAATGGATCATTTGCTCTGAAGCCAATTAATAATTATAGCCGTAATAATGCTTTTAATATTTCAGTTACTAACAGAAAATATTTCCATTTTATCTGCTTTTATGGAAGGCCCATTAGAAGATATCAGAGATTTAAATATAAAAATATTTATGATTTCATGATTAGATACTTATGTTCTTGAATTTAAGTGTTGCTTTCCATATGTAGAAATATGTTTTGGTTACTTTGACCTAAGCTTTTGGGGTCACACATTTAAGGATTTAATGTCAAAGTGAAAATTTGGAATTGAATATAAAATTAAAATCAACTAGTGGTAGATTTGATAGTATCAGATTACATGGTAAATATTTAGTAAATGTTTTATACCTTTTCTTGTTTAAAGGGAAAGATGATCTAGAAAGCTTCCAGCTTGAGATAAGTGGCTTTTTAAAAGAAATGGCATGTCCATATTCTGTACTCGTATCAGGAGATATTAAAGACCGTTTAAAAAAGAAAGATGACTGTTTGGAACTTCTATGTAAGTTATGTTTCTTTGAACAATTTAAATGCATGTGTTTAATCTGGTTTGTGTTATTTTCAAGTCAAGATTTATGAACTTAATGAATCATTAGATATTTTGTGTATTAGAAAGTTTTTAATATTTGGCTTAAAATATGAAACTGAGATTTTTATATAAATGTAGTATAAATTCTACTAATGTACTCTTTAAGATTTCTAACACTTATGATTTATTTGGCCAATATAGAATGCCCAGTGTTTGTGACTTGTATGGTACTTCAGTAATTTTTCTTTCACTTAATTCATCTCTTTACATTTATGACTAATTGGCTAATGTGGTGATCTCCAAACTCCTATTTAATCTTAAAACTCTCTGAAAATAGGCTGCTAAGCAGATTATTAGATGTTAGGCACTGAATGATGGTTCAAAAATATTCATTGATCACTTTCTACTGTACCAGAAACTGCTCTAAGCATTAGGGATGTATCAGTTAAAAAAAAAAATTGTGCCCTTGTGCCACTTGAATTTTAGTGAGTGTGGCCTATTTTCATCAGGGGTGAATTTGGAGTACAGATTACCTGTATCTAAACAAATACTATGAATAACATCCATTTATTTATATTGGCTCCCTTAAAATTTTTTTTAAATTCAGTTAGTTTAATTTCATGCTATTTTGAAAGTTCTACAAGCAGTGACTATTTGAAAGAATTTTTCTAACATCTTCTATTATTGAAGATTTCTATTAGGTTGTACCATTTATAAAAAGTTGCATGTGATATATTCCTCTATGTTCTAGTGTTAAAATGTTAGTTTCATTAGAGCAGAAATCACGTTTATGTGTTTAACTACTGGTGGTGTTGGAAGTGTTGACATTGAATTATCTTGTTTGTTTTGGGGAGGATAAAAATTATGTGCCCTTCCCCCATTTCTTACACTATTTCCTTGTCTTCCTCCCATTCAGTGTAAGTCACTGATTTAATGAACCATTGTTATTAATGGGAGGTCACAGTAACCCTTAGGTGTATTGGGACAAAAAGAAAGGTAAGAAGCACTGGCCATGAGGAACTTGCATATAGGTAATCCTTAGATTACCTTATTCTTACCTTAGATATAGGTAATCTGTAATTCTTTATGTTAGTCAGTGAGAACTGTGTAGATCATGTTTCCCTTTTTGCCTTTGCTTCTAAGAAGCTCAGCAATAACGGTAATATAAGTTTGTGGTCCAAATAAAAGTAAAGAGGAGATATAAGAGAGGTTGGTGTAGTTTTTTCTGATTATAAAAATACATGCTCAGGAGGTGGGGTGAAATGGGGAATTGTTAAATGAGTACAAAGTTTCAGTTGAGGAAGATGAAAATGTTCTGGACATGGATGGATGGATGGTGGTGATGGTACTTAATGCCACTATACACTTAAAAATAGTTAGAATGGTAAATTTTATGTTACATGTTGAAAAAATACATGCTCATCATAGAAATCTTACAAAGTCGATAAATATGAAAAGAAGAAAATAATTTATAATTTCACTCCCCAGAGAGGATCATGAATAACTTTTCAGTGTATTTCCTTTTCCTTCTCTTTTTCCTTTGTACACACATATTTAAATAAGATTGAGATCTGTTACAGATGTAGTTCCTGCTCTTCCTCTTCTTCATTTAATGTATTGTGAGCATTTTCCCATCACTTAGTATTTTTTTAAAAATTTATTTATTTATTTTTGGCTGTGTTGGGTCTTCGTTTCTGTGCGAGGGCTTTCTCCAGTTGTGGCGAGCAGAGGCCACTCTTCATCACGGTGGGTGGGCCTCTCACTGTCACGGCCTCTCCCGTTGTGGAGCACAGGCTCCAGACGCGCAGGCTCAGTAGTTGTGGCTCACGGGCTTAGTTGCTCCACGGCATGTGGGATCTTCCCAGACCAGGGCTCGAACCCATGTCCCCTGCATTGGCAGGCAGATTCTTAACCACTGCGCCACCAGGGAAGCCCTCACTTAGTATTTTTTGAAAAAATAATTTAAATTGGCTACATAACATTCTATGCTATGGGCATTTTTATTTAATAGATTTCAAATTTGGGGGTATTTGGATTTTTCTAATTTATCTATCTATGGCTATGTTGGGTCTGTTGCGTGCAGGCTTTCTCTAGTTGCGGTGAGCAGGGGCTACTCTTCGTTGCGGTGTGTGGGCTTCTTATTGCGGTGGCTTCTGTTGTTGCAGAGCATGGGCTCTAGGCGCGTGGGCTCAGTAGTTGTGGCTCGCGGGCTCTAGAGCGCAGGCTCAGTAGTTGTGGTGCACGGGCTTAGTTGCTCCGCCGCATGTCGGATCTTCCCGGACCAGGGCTTGAACCCGTGTCCCCTGCGTTGGCAGGCAGATTCTTAACCACTGCACCACCAGGGAAGTCCCAATTTTTCTATTTTAAATTAATTTTTTTGTTCATATTTTTGGTTACTTAGACAAAGATCATGAACATTTAAAAAAATTCTCTGGTCTAGATATATTGCCATAATTTGCTCCAGAAAGGTTATACCAATTCACAGTCTTACCAGCATCTATTTCATCTTTATCTTTAGTTTGACTACCTTTAAAACATACTGATATAATAAGCTTCTTCATGTTCTTTTAGAATTGTTTGCAACGTGTGTAAAATGAAAAGGGCCACATTCCTTACTATGTGGAGAGCTTTTATAGAGATAAAAACTCACTGGACTACTGAGCCTGCGCGTCTGGAGCCTGTGCTCCGCAACAAGAGAGGCCAGGACAGTGAGAGGCCCGCGCACCGCGATGAAGAGTGGCCCCCGCTTGCCACAACTAGAGAAAGCCCTTGCACAGAAACGAAGACCCAACACAGCCAAAAAAATTAAAAATAAAAATAAATATAAATTAAAAAAACTCACTGGAAAAATATGTAAAGTATATAAGGCATGAAAAGGCATTCTACAGAAAAAAGTTTAAAAAAAATTGCTTCTAAACATGAAAAGATGCACAGTTACACCCCAGAGGTAAAGAGTTCCAAAAAAAAAAAAAAAAAAAAGGATACCATTTTTCACTTACCAGGCTAGCAAATACCAGAAAAAAAAAAAGTCATAATACAAGTTTGGGGGGAGTAAGCATTCTCATATACTACAGGCGTTGGAGTGTGGTGGGAGAGTAACTGGTACAATCTTTTGGAAAGGCAAATTTTCAATAACACAATTAAAATTCACCTGTCTTTTGACTTGGCAATTCAATGACTAGGAGTTCATACTAACTGTACAAAGATATAAGAAAAGAATGTTCATTATGGCATTGTTTGTAGTAGTTAAATAGAAATGGTACATCTTTGCAGTGATACTATTCTATAGCCATTAGAATGAGAGTAGATAAAATGTGTAAATATGGAATGATCTCTAAGATATATTGGTAAATAAAAAATGTACAGAACATGTATCGTATGCTCTTGTTTCTATAAAAGAAATAAAAGTGCATAGGTGGTAGAGACATATACTAAATACACACGCGCGCGCGCGCCTAAAAATATGCCCAAGAAACTAACACTGGTGATTGCCTCTGGGGAGGGGGAATCTGAGGATCTGTGGTGGGAAGAAGACTTTTCACTGTATTAGTTTCCATCTGTGAGGATTAGCATTTTAAATACTAGACTGAACTCTTGTTTGTACTGTTACATACAGCATGTTTCCATAGAACAAAGACTTCAGCCATGTTTCTGCACAAAATATAAATTTTTGAAGAACTGGTGATCTGCTTAATGAAGTTAAAAAGTCAGAGGGACCTTGGCATAGCCCTCATATGCAAAGTTTGATACATGTTGGTCTTAACTTTTTGTGGGTTCTTTAGACTATCATGTATAGATTACATGAAAAAATCATAAATTAGTGGCTCTCCATCCTGCCTGCCCATGAGAGTCACCTTGGGTCTAAAACCACACAGATTCCCAGATCCTACTTCAGACCTACTGGTTCAGAATCTCTGAGGGTGGGACCCTGGTACTTGTACTTTTAAACAATTTCTCATATTTTTTCTGCTCAGCTGAAGTCGAAACTGTTGTATTAAATTGTGTGTGTGTATAACTTTAACTAAACAAAAAGAAACCCCAATAAACTGTACTGTTGTAAAAGTTAATTTTCAAAAAGACTGTAATGATTTAAGATAATTTTTTGCTTTCCAAAATGATATTTTTTAGATTTTTTAAAAATTGAAATAGAGTTCACATAAAATATTGTTAGTTTCAGGTGTACCACATAGTGATTTGACATCTGCATACATTATGAAATGGTCACCATGGTAAATCTAGTAACCATCTGTCCCCATACGAAGTTATTACAGAATATTGACTGTATTTTATATTGTGTGTTACACCCCCATGGCTGATTCCTTTTCTTTCTGGAGGTTTGTACCTCTTAAGCCCCTTCACCTATTCTACCCCACCCCCACACCCCTTCTCTCTGGCAACTACCTATTTGTTCTCTGTGTATATGAGTCTGTTTCCATTTTGTGTTGTTTGTTTTTTCCATCTAAGATTTTTGAATGATTTTTAAAAATATGGCTGTTGAAAGAATGAAATAAAATGGTGACAGTGAAAGGACTTGTGAACAGCCTGGGGTGGTCTGTCTTAAAGGCAGTTTTTCAAATTGCTCTATCTGCTTAATAGATCAGTTAAAGCTATACATTCTCCCCTGGATTGAGCTGTGCATATCAGAATATTTTATCAGTCTTACACATTCTTAAGCATTTTAAAATTGTTGAAGTACAGGTGGGTCTCTCCTACTAGGCTTTAAACTCTTTGCAAGTAGGCACTATTTAAAAAAAAAATTTCCTTCTGCCCTCTTATTATTTCTTTTTGTGATAAGAATACTTAATGTAAGATTTACTGTCTTAGCAAATTTTTAAGTGTACAATATAGTATTGTTAAGTATAGGCACTATGCTGTAAAGTAGATCTCTAGGACTTATTCATGTTATATAACCAGTATGTATCAAACTTTGCTTATGAGGACTATGCCAAGGTCCCTTTGATTTTTTAACTTACTTATTTTTTTTGGCTGTGTTGGGTCTTAGTTACTGCGCGCGGGCTTTCTCTAGTTGCGGTGAGTGGGGACTACTCTTCGTTGTGTTGCGCGGGCTTCTCATTGCGGTGGGTTCTCTTGTTGTGGAGGACAGACTCTAGGCGCATGGGCTTTGGTAGTTGTGGCTCGCGGGCTCTAGAGTGCAGGCTCAGTAGTTGCGGTGCATGAGCTTAGTTGCTCCGCGGCATGTGGGATCTTCCCAGACCAGGGATTGAACCTGTGTCCCCTGCATTGGCAGGCAGATTCTTAACCACTGTGCCACCAGGGAAGTCCCGGTCCCTCTGATTATAAAACTTCAATAAAACAGATCACCGGTTCTTCAGAAATTTATATTTAACGAATATAAAATTTATATTTAACTAAACTCCTTGTTTCCTCCTTCCCCGGCCTGGCAATCACCATTCTGCTTTCTACTTTAGGAGTTTGACTGTTTTAGATTCCTCATAAAAGTGATATCATTAGTATTTGTCTTTCTGCGTCTGGCTTATTTCACTTTGCACAGTGTCCTCCAGGTTCATCCATATTGTCACAAATGGCTGGATTTTCTTCTTTTTTAAAGCTGGATAATAATTCCATTGTATACATATACCACATTTTCTTTATCCATTCATCTGTTGAAGGACACCTAGGTTGTTTCCAAATCTAGGCTATTATGAACAATACAGTAGTGAATATGGTAGTGAAGATCTCTTTGAGATCCTGATTTTCCCTTTGCATGTATACCCAGAAGTGGGATCTTAAAAGCATTCTTGTGCATTTTAACATTATTTGTTTTTCCCTTTTTTTATTATAGTATTTTTAAGTACAGAGCTTCAAGCTTTACAGATATTACAGAACAAGAAACGTAAAAATTCTCAATTAGATAAAAATAGTGAAATTTATCAGGAAGTTCAAGCTATCTGCGATACCCTTGGTATTCCCAAGTCAACAAGTTCTGACATTCCACTTATGCTGAACCAAGTGGAATCAAAGGTATTGTATTTGTTTTATTTTTCATTTCCCCCAAATTCAATTAAATGCTGATATGTAAATGTTGAATTAAAATACAGTTGACCCTTGAACAATGTGGGACTTAGGGGTGCTGACCCTCTGCAGAGTCAATAATTAACATACAACTTCACTGTTGTCCTTCTGTATCTGCGGTTCGCATTTGTAAATTCAGCCACCTGTGGATCAGATAGTACTGTAATTTTATTTAGTGAAAAAAATTCACATATAAGTGGACCAGCACAGTTCAAACCCATGTTGTTCAAGGATCAGCTGTATTTCCTTTAAGTACAAGATATACATTCTATTTAAAGAAACATTTATCTTCGTGTAAACTAAATTTTGGATTTGGCGTTAATATGCATGTGACCTAATTTGACTATAAGTAATATTCAGGAATGAGATCTTAATGAGTGAGTGCTAGGCTTTGTGAAGGTTTGCCCTGATAGAAATCCTTTTGCAAGTTTAAGGGTCCCTTTTCTAAACAAGGTTGTATTACAGTATAATGAAAGAAGTATAGTTATCCTATGAAGTCAAAGGCAAACTAAATTTCTTTTTAATGGATGTTGTTAATAGAATTGCAGTGTGGTTGTCTTTGGCAGTGAGCAAAGAAATGCACAATTTCTGGTGGATAAGTGTTTAGTAAATGTTTGTTGTATAGTGAATAAATGAATGAGTACCCGGATGGAGTAGTTAAAAACAACTAAAACCTGTGTACTTCTAGCTTTTTTTTTTTTTTTCCAATTATTAAACTATCCTTGTTCCCAGTCAAGCCATCGATTAGAGAGAATGATACTCTCACAGACCAAATTCTGGCTTAATTCCTAGGTTTTGTAGGAGTCCTCTAGGGGAATAATACAAGATTCATTTCTAAGGAAAAGAAAATTCTCACCCTCAAGAATAGGTACTAAAACTCTGTTTTTAGACATGCTGTTTTAAACTAAATTCTTGAATAAAGTACTCTTTGCATTGATAATTTATGAACTGAAAAATAAAAAGATTTGTCTTACTGAATGTCAGAGAATTTTAGTATCATTAAGATGAAAACACAGTATAAAAACTTTTTTTTTTCCCCTAGAACTTGTAAACCAAAGAATAAGCCTATGAATCCCAGCTCAGAAACACTGGTGTAGAGTTAATAAATTGCTCTTCAGAATTTATTTCTCTGGATTAAGAATGATCTGGGGTTGGCTAAAATATCTGGGGCTATTTCAAATTGAGACAGATTTCTAGACTCTTCCTAATCTCCCAGTGCTTACACATATTGATCCCAGAGAGGTGTTTTCCTTTTATGAGTTTCAGTTAGAATTTAAAAATACCCCCAAACCTCTTTTCCCTACTTAAAGCAAGCTGTAATGCCTGTGTTCAAGTGCTGGCAGGCTAATTATAAGGTAGTAGTTACTATGGCCATCATGGCTAAATATTTACCTATAATGACTTACTTCTCCATTCAGTTCCTATCAAAAGCAAAAATTTCCATATTTTCTTCTATGTACAATGTGTCCAGAAGACACTTCATCACCATTGGGGAGGAAATTTATGATTATTTTTTAGCTCGAAGCTGTTCAAATGTAAATCTAAAGTAATTATAGTAATATTAACAGCACACATACAGCATTTACTGTGCTAAATGTTTATATGTAATAACTCGTTGCATTCTTACATCACCTATAATGAAGTAGTAATATTATTATTTACAACAGCCATTTGAGAAAATTGAGGTGCTGAAAGCTTAATAAATTAGACAAGCAAGTTTCTAAGTAGTAGTAGTGGTAGACTGGAGTTTCAAACCCAGGTGGTCAACCTCAGAGTCTACTCTTAACTCCCTCTTTATCACAAGCAATTCTCAAAGTTATTAAAACTGTTATCTAATGTTGAAATACAGGGAATGTGATTATATGTGAGAAACTTAAGCATGCATTCAGAGTCCCTCTTGAGTAAGGGGTTATGACTAAAACTTTTAGTAGTATGTGAAATATCAAAATCGAAGGTATTTACAATAGTGAGGAATCTACAGAAATGATACGTTTTAAGAAAATAATAATTCTTTTCAATGTGTAAGAGTAGTGTCAGTAATCACTGTTGTAGTGGTAGATTTACTGTGATGTAAAGCTTAAGCTTTGGGTCCCCCTAATTTGCACAAGTTCTTTCTAAGCTCATTTTTCAAAAATAGCTTTCTCAAGATAAATTAAGTGCTATAAAATTCACCCATTTAAAGTGTACAATTCAATGAATTTTAGTATATTTACAGAGTACAACATCATCAAAATTTAATTTTAGAACATTTCCATCATTCTCAGAAGAAACCATGTGCCCATTTACAGTCACTTCCCATTACCACCACCAGTTTCCAAGCTAATTTTGTGTTCATAATTTTTAATTCTTTTTAAAAGAGGTCCCCCAACATTAAATAAGGTTCATACTCCTCAAAATGTGAACTCTTCCTGATTATTTTCTCTAGTTACTTTATAACTAAGCAACTGTAAATATTTCATTCTGTTTGAATGACCTCTGATATTGCTAAAGCAAAAGCGAATGTCTAAATCTTGTTCACCAGAATAAAAATGTTTCAAGTAATTCAAATCAGTGGCTTTGCAAAAGTAATGAAATGTGTATGTGGCGACTAATTGAGAGGGCTTGCTCTCCTGTGTTGTCTTGCTGAACAATGGAATGTGTACAGAATATGTAATGGAGTAAAACCAACATACTCAGCAAAGGTTTTGGTATCCCTTTTGAGAATTTGTCAGCATGTAAGAGTGTGCCATCTTAAGAAGAAACTTTGAATTTATTTCACATATAAATTATAGATTCTCATAATAAAACCTTTTAATAGCTACTTCTTTAGTTGTCCATGTACATTGTTTCTTACTCTGGAAAAGGTGTGCTATAGCTTGAATTAATGTAACGCTTCTTTGAGAAAGATACTCTGCATTGTAGTGATATTCTTTCCTATTATGTGAAGGTATATTTTAACTATTTCTCTTTAACATTGTATTAATTCTCTAGCATTCAAAGTGTTTTAAGCAAGAATAAGATCGTTTTAAATTAGGGATATACATTTTCACAATCTTTTATGTTTAATTTTAGGTGAAAGATATTCTCTCACAAGTCCAGAAAAATCACGTGGGAAAACCACTGCTGAAAATTGATTTAAATCTGGAACAGGCGGTAAGTCACCCTCCCCCACCTTTTTATTAGCTTTATGTAATTAAAGTAGTGAATATGACTTAATTTTATAGATGGGCAGCTAGATTTTACAGTGTGTAGCATGCATTTTTATATTGGAGAATTAAAATGGAATGATATTCTAGAACAGTAGGTCCTAACATTTCTTCACTCAGATTATTAATTAAAAAAAAAAAAAAACCTGGCCAAAAGTATGTATAGTGCCTAATATGTTAGCATAGTTGTAATTTGAAAAGTGTAGTAGCTCAATGCCAGCAAGATGGGAAGTTGTTGGTATTTTCTTTCCTTATTGGTCCAGACTACTTTGCAAGTAGACGTTTTACTTAAATTAACATGTTTGATTGAAGATCAGGTAAACTGTACCAATTGTAGAGTTTAATTTGTATGTTTAATATCTTCCGAATATTTTATATGTTCTATCAAATATCTTTATTTAAATAATTTACTGTAAAGTCTCATGGGATCAGAAAATGACCATCAAGTACCACCTTTTGAATTAATAGGAAGTATTGACCACAATTCTGAAATTTCTTTTCTGTGCATAATGAGTCTAAAGGTTATGATTTTTGTTTCCAAATTCTTTAGGAACAACTGGAAAGAATCAACGATGCCCTTTCCTGTGAATATGAGTGCCGTCGGCGGATGTTGATGAAACGATTAGATGTAACAGTGCAGTCCTTTGGATGGTCTGATAGAGCAAAGGTAAGGCTGTTTTTCCATTTGTGTCCTGTAGGTGGTACTCTGTGACAGCTCTTCAGGCTCTCTTGTCTTAGGTAACGATGCCACATTTGTACTTTATCACTCTGTCTGAAGCTCCTGCCCAGGCCAACTGCTGGTCTTAAATAATGATCCTGGTCTTGTATAAGTCCCTGTTTGCAAATATCTTAATTTCTCCCCATATCTTTCACATTTATTTAAAACTCATAGATGTTGTGATTTATGCAAGGATATACATAAAAGAAGGCATCATATGTGATAGTGAGATAGATATAGTGAGCAATGGTCAAGAAAGGATTTACTGCTAAACACCCTACAGTACACAGGATAGCCCTTCACAACAAGATCTATCTGGTCCAGAAGGTCAAAAGTAGTGGTTGACAAAATCTCTTTCTGATGTTATGAGATCAGATTTTTCTTTATACATAATATATTGTTATTTTCATTTAACAAATAGTTGAATGCTTACTCTATTTCATGTACACATTAAAGGATATTTATTAAAACATATATTTGAACAGCAAGTGCAACGTGGCACACTGTACACAAAAAGAGGTGACTCTTCTGTAAGCATCATGCCCGTCTGCTTATTGTGCTTACTGTTGCTTTGTTTATTTAACTAATGTGAGGTTCATTATTCTTTTTCAGCTTTGCAATCTGGTTAAAGTAACACATCACTCCTCAATGTTATCCTGTCTAAATCTTCTCTGATAAATAGCACCTGTCTGCAGAAAGCACCTGCTCAGAAGCAGTTTTAGACTCCCTGTAACTATTAAGCTTGTGAGAGGTCACCCAGGCTGAGAGGAAAGAAATTAACAGACAAGCTGCTACTGTGTTCTGAAATGATGGGACTGAGGCCACGTATTCTCTGGTTTCTCTCCTCATGGTCTTTGCAGTCTTTCCAGTATAGTATGTCTCTCTTCCTATTCCACAGAAGAATTAAAACCCTTTTTTCCCATTTGATTTATGTCTAAATCCTTTTATTCAACTGTCGAAAAAGTAAAATACTGATTTTTTTCTTTAGGAAAAAAAAAAAGAAGGATTTAGGAATGAATCAGGTAGCACTGGTGCCTGAACAAACCTTCTTAAAGGTGGCTTAAGGCTGTGGAGTGTGTTTCAGTTGAAGAGGGGGTTGGAGGTTGGGTGCATTCCCAAATATGAATCTCTTCAGGTAGTTTTCTAGAGAGCTGTCACCCATCATTCCCATTTTATGCCTGTAATCTGTACCCAGGCATCGTCTGGGATCCTCCACTCCAGACTGTAAGCTGGGACAATTATAGGAAACCATTTGCTTACCCTGTTTGAGGGATCATTGTGTCCTGTGTTCCTTGATGTCCAGTGTCTGAAAACCACTGGTTCACATGGGTTGTCCAGTTTTATAGTTGTTTCAGGTAGGAGGGTAAATCTGTGCCTGTTACTCTCAGATATTATTATTACATTCTTTGGATTAACTGGGCAGTTGTCCTGCCCCCATATTGTATCAACTGGGGTCATTTATGCAGCTTCATTCAACTGATACCTGGGCTGGGTTGGGCTGGAACATCCAAGACGGTTGCCTCACATGTCTGGGTTTTGCTAACTGTTTCTTGGGGTGCTTCACTTGTCATCTTGGCTCTTAGGTGGTCTCTCTCTCCATGTGGTGCCCCACATTGGTTTCCTATGGCTGCTGTAATAAATTACCACAAACTTCGTGGTTTAAATAATACACATTTATTTTCTTACAGATCTAGAGATCAGAAGTCCTAAAATGAAGGTATTGTCAGGGTTGCATTCCTCCCGGACACTTCAGGGGAGAATCTGTTTCCTTGCATTTACTAGCTTCCAGATACCACCTGTGTACCTCAAGTCATGACCTCATCCTCCATCTTCAAAATCAATAGTGTGTAGGATCTTCCATTCTTTCTCCTTCTGCTTCCATTGTCACATGCCTTCTGCTGTCTCTCTCTTATCAGGAGCCTTGTGATTACACTGGGCTTACCCAGATAATCCATCTCAAGATCCCTAACTTAACTCGCATCTGTATCTTCAAGGTGACATATTCACAGGTTCCAGGGATTAGGATGTGGAGATCTCGGGGAAGCCATTCTGTTTACCAGGTGTCTTCTAATTGGAGTTTATTTTTTTCCTGCATTGTATTTCGTTATCATATGCGGCTGTTGCTTTTTTCTTTTCTTTTTCTCTTTTTAAAATATACTTTTAAAAATCAAGTATTCTAATGAGTCCTCTTTTCTATACTTTCCCTTCTAAAAGCTTGTATCCTACTGCAGTTTGGGCTGTTTGCGTGCCTATCCTTGGCTACTCCACTATTTCCTGGATTCCATGGCCTTCTCTTTCATTGTTTATTCCCTCAATCTGCCATAGTAAATCCACAAATAACTTCCTAACAAAGGGTGCATAGGAGTGATTATTCTGAACCCTTGAATTCTGAAAATATGTTTATTCTGCTGCCACATTTGATTGATAGTTTGGGTAAATGTAAAATTCTAGGTGGAAAACATTTTTCTCTAAGAATATTGAAGAATATTGAAGGCATTGCTTCATTGTTTTCTAGCATATAGTGCTGCTGTTGAGAAACCCAGTGCCATTGCCTGTCCTTTTGGATGACGTTTTATTTTTCACTGGGAGCTTTTGGACCCTCTTCTTCTTTTTTTTTTTTTATTTTATTTTTTTGAGAATTACATTTTATTTGACAGACTTGCTGAGGACTTAAGCCTGGAAGACAGCCTCTCAGATGACTCTGAGGGACTGCTCTGAAGAGGTAAGGGAGGAGCCAGGATATATAGGAGTTTTTGCAAGAAACCAGGTAGTAAGAACATCAAAAGATCATTGTTTAAAAAAAAAAAATCATTGTTAATTAAAGAAAAATAGGGACTTCCCTGGTGGTTGGACTCTCTTCTTTATCCTTGGAGTTCTGAAATTTCACAGCTTATGTCAGTCTGGGTCTTCCTGAATTCATTGTGCTAAACATTAGGTGGGCATTTTAATCTGTAGACTCTTAGATTTTATATTTCTCTTTATTAATTTCTTCCCTTTTGTTTTCTCTTTCTGAAACTCTTGTTATTCAGATATTAGACCCCCTGGATAGATCCACTTGAGTTGCTTTATTTTTTTTTCTCATTTTCTGTCTCTTCCTTTTTGATTGACTTTCTTGGAAATGTCCTCAATTTTATTTTGTGCTTGGCACTAAATTTTTGTTTCTGCCATCATTTTTTCATTTCCAGGAATTCTTTTTGCTTCTTGAGTTTTCCTTTTTCATGTTTTTTTTTTTGTCTTGTTTTATGAATGTGCTATCTTCTTCAATGGGGATGAAAAATTTTTTTTAAAAAAGATTGTTTTTTTTCCCCCCCTTTAATTATTTCTGTCTCTTCCAGGGCAATTTTTAGTTTGTTTTTCTTGGTCTCTCTCTCGTGGTGGCTTTCTTCACATCATGATGGTCCTTTGTTGTCCATATTTAAGAGAAGACACTGAAAAACTGATTGGGAACTGTAGTGGTTGATCAGGATTGTTGATGTCAGACTTTGGAGCTGCCTCCTGTGCTGTGGCAATTCCTGATACTCATTTGGAGAAGTCTTTTCTCTGTAGCTGCTCAGTTTTTCAAGAAAGGAAGGCTCATTTTTTTTCTATACATTATTCTCCTTTGGCCAGAGGAGGAGGAGTGGCAACATGGCACCAGGGGTTGGAAGAATAGACTATTCCACAAATAGACAGTTAACCCCTATTTTTGGCTCCCAGTTTCATTTTCTGAGATGTTGGTTCCCTTCTTACCTGTATCCCCTTTTTTCATTCTGTTTATTGTAGTATATGTGTATTTTTTTAAAAAAGTAATTTAGTGTGTTTGAGAAGATACCTTTAGGAAATATCTTGATGTCTTCTCATCTTGGTCTTTTTTCATCATGTTTTAGGACAAGGAGGTTGTGTTTTTGTTGTTTTTTCCTTAGTCCGAAAGATTTTTAAAATATTTTTTTTCTCAGAGTATAGGTCAAATTTTGGCCTTCCATGCCATCCTTTTCAATTGATTATATGAGTGTATACATTTATACCCTGAGTTTTCTTTTCTTGTTAAATTTAATATATCTTTATCTTATTCTCCCTATTTCATGTGTCTGATGTTGTTGTATGACTCATCAAATATTGTTCTACAGCATTTAAAATCTTTTGCATACAGATATACTCTATTGATTGACAGTGAGTTTTCCTTTAATTTTGTCTCCTTTGACCCTGTAATGAAATTTTTGGCAGCTAAATTTTTGTTCATGATATATTCCTAAAAGCGGAATTTCTTGATCAAAGCATATGCATTATAATGCTTTTGATGCACACTCTAGAGTTGCCCTTCAAAAAGATAATACATGTTTATTAGTATGGTTAATCTGGTTTCTCTGTTACTTTGCTGGTATTGAAATAGGACTGAGTATACTTTTATAGTTTGCTTTTTTTTTTTAACTGAATATATTGTGATCATTGTACCATATCTCTAAAAGTTCTATTTCAGTGTCCTTTTTAAATTAATTCTTAATTTATTTCTTATTTTTTGAGTTATAATTCACCATCTTAAAGTGTACAGTTCAGTGGTTGTTAGTATATTCACTGTATTCTGTGCCATTATCTAATTCTACAACGTTTCCCTCACCGCCAAAAGAAACATGCACCTTTTAGTGGTCATTTGCAGTACCTTCACCTTCCTTCTCTGACACTCACTACTATAACCTACTTTCTGTCTCTTTGGATTTGCCTGTTATGGATATTTCATATATATAAGGAGTCATACAATATGTGGCTTTTTATGTCTAACTTCTTAGCATAATGCTTTCAAGGTTCATCCATGTTGTCCCATGTAACTGCAGAATCAGCCCTCCATGTCCGCAGATGTGAAACCCATGGATTCCTAGGGATTCCTAAATGGAAATTTACTGTGTGAAAGGTTATGACTCTTAATGCTCTTGATTCACATCACCAAATTGTTTTTTACAAAGTTTGTATGAATT